GCAACAACTAGCCCCAGGGCGCCGAGGCCACCCGTTATAACAATAGCTCCATCCTGCACTGGTTCAATTGAGCTAGCAAACTTGACGACAACCTTCCCGATGTGCTGAGCCCTCTGCAGAAACCGGAATGCCGCCACTCCTCCTTCAACGGGGTCCTCCATGTCAAACACCTTCAGCGGAAGGCTACTGAGCTGACCACTTTCCACACGCTCCCGGATTCTGTCAAGCATGCCACCAAACCATGCAGGATCCTCCTCCATCATAGTGTCCACAGCGATGGTCTCGTAATATACATCTGGACGGGCTTCCTTCATCTGTTCGTGAGTCCAAATGCCTCTCTTGCCCAATTCCATGAAACGTCCGTTGGGTCCAAGGAGCTTGAGGGACTCTGGGATGTAATCATCGACGAGGGTGTTCAGCACTACATCAATGTGCCCATCCTCCCCCAGAAACTCGCGCATATCCTTTGCAAACGATTTCGAGTCTCGGCTAGTTGTGATGTACTGGATTCCGGCGGACTTCAAGTACTCCTCCTTGACGCCCCCACTGCATGTTGCATAAACCGTTGCCCCTACCTTCTGGCAATGTTGTATGGCAATTAGTCCTACACCACCTGTTGCTGTATGTATGAGGACCTTCTCGCCTGATTCGACTTTAGCCAGTTGTTCTAGGGCATAGCTTACAGTCGCTGCCACCACCGGCAGTGCAGCTGCTTCTTCAAAAGACAACGTGGCAGGCATCGGTCTTACCAGGTCGGAAGACGCTGTAACGAAGGTTTTCAAAGTCCCTTGGGCAATACCATATACGCTATCACCAATCTTGATGCCGGAAGCATTAGGTCCAACTGCAACCACTGTACCTGCGCAGTCAGCGCCGGGTTGTCCAGGGTCCCCCGGATACAGACCCATGACATTCAATACGTCTCGAAAATTTAGCCCGACAGCACGTACACGAATACGGCATTGCCCAGATTCGAGAGAACCTGGCTGAACAGGTGCTTGTGGACGAAGTGCTAAATTCGTCACTGCTCCGCGATCTGGCAAATACAGCTCCAGTGGACCACGGACAACCAGCCCAGAGCGGCTAAGTCTAGGGAACAGAACTTGAAGGCCCGAACCCAAGTCTGCAGAACGAACGAGCATCTCTGACTCCTGGGGGTGAACAAGATGCTGATCCCAATGGCTGAAGATGCATCGGGAACTGAAAGGGTATTAGCTACTGTCTCAGCTGTGGGCTGGGTGAGCCACACAACGGTCGTTTCTTCACTGTCAGAAAAGTCGCTTCTCAGGGCTTCGTGGTTTCCAGTGCAGTCAAGGAAAATGATTGTTGGCCTCGTTGGTTCTGCTGTGCTGCACGTATCCGTAGAACAAGGTTCCATGTCATCAGACTGAGGATTCGCATCATCGTCATCAGCTGATTCGGGTGTGGTGGGCGTCTGCACTTTGTTGCTAAGCGGCGACAGTTGCCCAATGCTATCACTTTCAGTCTCTGCTGTAGTTTGCGCTTCCAGCTTCGAGCCAGGAATCCATTCAGTATACCACAGGAGATCTCGCGGAACCGCAGCGGATGGCTCCATATCAATCTGGCGGAAAGTGACCCCGCCGAAGTCTGCCAGTACCTTACCGTCTGCTGTAAACAACTGGGCGTCGACAGTGGCAGCAGTAGAAGTCCGAGACAGAAGTGAAACTCTCGCCCATATCTCCTTGTCTGCGCTCGCGCTTAGCATGGTGACAGATTCGATGGAAAATGGTATCATAGCCCTACGCTGCCCTTCCTCTGACAATAGAATTGCTGAGAGCTGTAAGGCACCATCCATAACAGCGGGATGCACTCGGAACCCACGTTCGAAATTTTTGGGGCTCACAGCTTGCAGCAAACCCACAACAACATTTTCACCCTTGAACGCACGTTTGATTGTGCGAAATCGTGGGCCGTAGGCTAAGCCGATCTTCTGAAGCTCTGCATATGCCTTAGCTATGTCGACCTCATCAGGGCACGCCTTGAGAATCGTTTTGTTGTCAAGATCTGGTAACTCAATCGCACTAGTGAGAATTTGGGCGTACGCGTGAATCCGATCCTCTCCTTCGTCGACCTCTGAAGTGCTCATTAGGCGCACCTGGCCGTACGAGTCGACTGAAACAGAGAGAGACACTTTTGACCCTGGTTGGAAGACGAGAGGCTTTTCGAAGACGAGCTGGGACAAGCAAGGTGGGCTTACCGCTGCCCCCTTGTCTAATACTTCACGGGAAGCCACTGCCATAAGTTCCAACATGGACGTTGCGGGCAGCATCGGCTGGGCCTTGACCACATGATCGGCAAACAGCGATTCCGCCTCTTCACCTAGGCCGCCGACAAAGTCCACGCGACCGTCTTCACGAGTTTCCTTGCGGCCGAGTAATGGATGGCAGATATCTCTCCATGGGAAATACTTCCTGTTGAAGACGACGGAAGCCGGTGTAGCACCCCTTGCTGCAAATCACATTGTTTACATTGAAACAAAATACTTCCCTCAGCATACGGGGATACCAAGAGAAAACCCCAGAGAGAACTTCACGCGGGACTGTTTTATTGCTTACCTGCAGCAGCAGCGACAGCATCAATGGTTTCCATCTTGGCGCCTTCTGTATCCACCATGTTTATCCACTGAAGACCACTATCGGCATGTTCCTTGAAGCAACCCCTTCCCATTGAAGTAAGGGTGGGCCTTGGCCCAATTTCTACCATCAAAGTGGCTCCGTTTGCCACGCACTGCTGGACGGCATCACAAAACCTAACTTTCTTAATGATGTGCTCCGCCCAGTAGTCAGGCTGTCTAAGCGCTTCATCACACAACTGACCCGTGACCGTCGATATCATCTCAATGTGGGGAGCGTTTAGGTGTACTTGCTCCACTACCTTTTTGAACGGCAAGCAAGTTGAGCCAACCAAGGGGGAGTGGAACGCGTGAGACACAGCGAGAAACTTTGCTCTGGAGGATGCTTCCATCTGCCCTAGAATTGCTAGTACATCCTTTCGTGGACCAGCAAGTACAATGCTTTTCAAGCCGTTAACAACAGCAACTGACGACAATCTTTGCTTTTCCCCGTAAAAGGCTGCAATCGCCTTCTCTCCCTGTTCCTCCGTGGCCCGAACTGCAGCCATGACTCCATCCTTCGAAGGCGTTTCTCCCATGATTTTAGCGCGAGCGGCTACCAGTTGAAGGGCATCTTCCAGAGTGAAAACGCCTGCCACGCAAGCTGCTACGTATTCGCCAAGGCTGTGTCCGAGGACCATATCAGGAAAGACGTTCTTTGACATCCACAGCTCAGCTAATGCATATTCAAATGCAAACAAAGCCAGTTGGGAAATGCTACTTCCAGCAAGAATTTTCTTTGCCTCACTCTCCTTTTGCGGGGATGGGTACAGGATATCAATTATGGAAACACCCAAAATCCCGACTACAATTTGACTTGCCTTGATCAAGCTGGCTCGGAATACCTCATTTTCCTCATACAAGACCTTCCCCATGTTTACGTATTGCGACCCCTGTCCTGTAAACATGAAGCAGATCTTCTGTCTACTGACGGGCCGTCTGACAGATCGAAGACTGGCAGGCACCTCTTCAAGAATTACGTGAGCATTAGCCCCCCCGAAGCCAAACGAACTAACGCCAGCTAGAAGTCGCTTTGATGGTCCGCTTGCCTTCAGCGGGACCATATCTGTGGGGAACTGAACAGGGAAGTCGGAAACATTTATGTGTTCATTCAGCTTCTTGAAGTGGATGTTGGGAGGAACAGTCCTGTTCTGCAATACTAGTACAGCCTTAATCAACCCCGCAATACCGGATGATCCCTCAAGGTGGCCGATGTTGGTCTTTACAGCGCCTAGAACAAGAGGAACATCTTTGGGCCTCCCATTAGCGAAAACTGACTTCAACGCGTGCACCTCGATGGGATCTCCTAGTGCTGTGCCAGTTCCATGTGTCTCCAAATAGCCGATGTCATCAGGCTTAATGCCAGCTCTAGCAATTGCTGAACGGACGACCTCAGCTTGGCTAGGGCCATTAGGTGCAATGAGACTGGCACTGCGACCAACATGGTTACACGCAGTGCTTCTAATAACAGCCAAGACTTCCATATTTGCTTCCTGGGCCTCATTCAGAGGAACAATCATAGCGGCGGCAACACCTTCACCTCGTGCATATCCATCTGCCGAGTCGTCGAATGTCTTGCACTTTCCATCAGGGGAGAGCATGCGCGCTTTGCAGAAAGCGATGAACAAATGCGGAGTCAGCATTAAGTTTGCTCCAGCGACCAGAGCAGATTTGCAATCTCCGCGGATAACCTTTTCGAATGCAACATCCACTGCAACGAGGGAGGAGGAGCATGCTGTGTCAACAGCCACCGAAGGGCCCTTCAATCCATAGACATATGACAAGCGGTTGGCAATGATGCATCCAGCTGACCCAGTCCCGGAATAGGAAGAAATCGTGTCATCAGACATCAGATAGATCCAGTCGTGATTGCAAACTCCGACAAATACACCAATGTTAGCATTGTGGAGGGATTCTTTGGTGTAACCTGAAGATATGAAGGTTTCGTATGAAACTTCAAGCAGAATGCGCTGCTGTGGGTCCATGGCCTTAACCTCTGGAGGGGTGATGTTGAACAAGGCATTGTCGAAGTACTCTACATTGTCAATAAATGCCGCGCGTTTGACGTAGGCCTTTCCCGGAAAATCAAAGTCATCATTGTACATCTCGTATACGCTCCACCTGCTAAGTGGAATATCCATCATGCAGTCTGTCCGGTCAAGCAGCACCTGCCACAGGGTTTCTGGAGAGTTAGAGCGGCCAGGAAGCCGGCAGGCAACGGACACAACAGCCAGGCCGTCATGCACAACAGCAACGCGACCTAGCTGAAGGCCAGCAGTGCCGTCAGCTGGCCCTTTATCTTCCCCTGTTGCTTCGAAGACGTATTCAGTGATTGCGTTCAATGTTGGGTAGTCGAATAGAGTAGTTGCTGAGAGCTTCATGCCCAATTTTTTGGAGAGGAGATTGCGGAACTCAACGGCCCCCAATGAATCTACTCCAAGGTCCTGTAAGGGCTTGTCAAATGACGGGGCGGAGCTGCTGCCGAGAACCTGGCGCGCCGCTGCGGCTACTTGAGCCTTGATGAACTCCTTCCTCTCCGCAGCAGACAGATGTTTCATAGTCATCCCAGACGACTCTGGCAAATCTGCACCCTCTTGTGAAACCCCCTCAAACAAAGGAGGGACAGTGACGTATCGTATAAAGAATGCTCTCCACTTGAAAGCCTGGCAAGCAAGGACTGGGGGGCACTCTGGGTGAAGGAGGACGTCGTGAAGTGTTCGAAATCCAAGCTCATTCGTGATGCCCTTCATGCCATTCCTGGCCAGCTGTTGACGCATCTCCACCGCCATGCCCTGCTCAATCCATGGCCCCCACTGAATCGATTGACAACAAAGCCCCTTTCTTCTGCGCCACCGTGCCAATGCATCCAAACACGCATTCGCTGAGGCATAGTTAGCCTGCGCAACATTTCCAATGAGAGAAGATATTGAAGAAAAGAGTACGAAGAACTGAAGATCCTTATCGATGCCCTGTTCTTCGCAGACTCGGTGAATATTCCACGCACCTACAACTTTGCCGTTGTAGACACGCCGAAGCCCTTCAAGAGACTGGCTATCAAGCAGGGAGTCTGCAAGAGCTCCAGCTGCATGGAATATTCCTTTTATCGGAGCTACCGTCTTCTGTATTTTTTTAAACACCCCGCGTACGCTTTCGTAGTTCGACACGTCACAGGAGAAAAAGCTGACTTTACAGTTGATATTCGAAAGCCAGTCCCATTCGGGCACGTTGCCCGATGGAGGTGGAGCATCGCGGCGGGCTATCAAGACTATATTCCGCGCCCCTTCTTCTGCAAGCCAGCCCGCAACAACTAGCCCCAGGGCGCCGAGGCCACCCGTTATAACAATAGCTCCATCCTGCACTGGTTCAATTGAGCTAGCAAACTTGACGACAACCTTCCCGATGTGCTGAGCCCTCTGCAGAAACCGGAATGCCGCCACTCCTCCTTCAACGGGGTCCTCCATGTCAAACACCTTCAGCGGAAGGCTACTGAGCTGACCACTTTCCACACGCTCCCGGATTCTGTCAAGCATGCCACCAAACCATGCAGGATCCTCCTCCATCATAGTGTCCACAGCGATGGTCTCGTAATATACATCTGGACGGGCTTCCTTCATCTGTTCGTGAGTCCAAATGCCTCTCTTGCCCAATTCCATGAAACGTCCGTTGGGCCCTAAGAGCTTGAGGGATTCTGGGATGTACCTTCCCAATGTGCTGAGCCCTCTGCAGAAACCGGAATGCCGCCACTCCTCCTTCAACAGGGTCCTCCATATCAAACACCTTCAGCGGAAGGCTACTGAGCTGACCACTTTCCACACGCTCCCGGATTCTGTCAAGCATGCCACCAAACCATGCA